GGCATCAACGTCAACTACTGTCGAGGAAGGAAGCACTTCCACTCACCCTCCAGTCACAAGCACAACCATGGTGGCGTCAACGTCAACTACTGTCAAGGAAGGAACGACATCCACTCAGCCTCCTACCACTAGCACGACCAAGGAGGCATCAACGTCAACTACTGTCAAGGAAGGAACGACATCCACTCAGCCTCCTACCACTAGCACTACCATGGTGGCATCAACGTCAACTACTGTCAAGGAAGGAACGACATCCACTCAGCCTCCTACACTAGCGACCGACCCAAGGCAGCGATCAACGTCACACTACTGTCAAGGAAAAACGACATCGCACTCACCTCCCTACCACTAGCACTACCATGGGTGCGATCAAACGTCAACTACTGTCTCAAGAAGGAACGACATCCACTCAGCCTCCTACCACTAGCACTACCATGGTGGCATCAACCTCAACTACTGTCAAGGAAGGAACGACATCCACTCAGCCTCATACCATGAGCACGACCAAGAAGGTGGCATCAACGTCAACTACTGTCAAGGAAGGAACGACATCCACTCAGCCTCCTACCATGAGCACGACCAAGGAGGCATCAACGTCAACTACTGTCAAGGAAGGAAGCACTTCCACTCACCCTCCAGTCACAAGCACAACCATGGTGGCGTCAACGTCAACTACTGTCAAGGAAGGAACGACATCCACTCAGCCTCCTACCACTAGCACGACCAAGGAGGCATCAACGTCAACTACTGTCAAGGAAGGAACGACATCCACTCAGCCTCCTACCACTACAGTAGCACTACCATCCGCGTCTGGCGATCACAGCGCGTCAACGCGACCCTGGTCAACGGACGCAGGAACCGACATTCACACTCTGCTCCCGCTACACTTGAAGGCACGAGCCAAGGATCGGCATGCAACGTCATATACTGTCGCATAGACAGCACGACATGCCACCTCCAGCTCCGTACCACGTGCCACTACCATGGCGTCTGACCGAGCAACCGTCACCACGATATACTGGTCAAGGAAGGAACGACATCCACTCAGCCTCCTACCACTAGCACGACCAAGGAGGCATCAACGTCAACTACTGTCAAGGAAGGAACGACATCCACTCAGCCTCCTACCACTAGCACGACCAAGGAGGCATCAACGTCAACTACTGTCAAGGAAGGAACGACATCCACTCATAGCCCTCCTACCACTAGCACTACCATGGTGGCATCAACGTCAACTACTGTCAAAGAAGGAACGACATCCACTCAGCCTCCTACCACTAGCACTACCATGGTGGCCATCAACCTCAACGACTTCAAGGAAGGAACACGACATCTACTCAGCCTCATACCATGAGCACGACCGAGGTGGCATCAACGTCAACTACTGTCAAAGAAGGAACGACATCCACTCAGCCTCTTACCACTAGCACGACCAAGGAGGCATCAACCTCAACTACTGTAAAGGAAGGAACGACATCCACTCAGCCTCCTACCATGAGCACGACCGAGGTGGCATCAACCTCACAACACTGGCAGGAAGGAACGACATCCACTCAGCCTCCTACCATGAGCACGACCGAGGTGGCATCAACGTCAACTACTGTCAAGGAAGGAACGACATCCACTCAGCCTCCTACCACTAGCACGACCATGGTGGCGTCAACCTCAACTACTGTCAAGGAAGGAAGCACTTCCACTCAGCCTCCAGCCACAAGCACGACCAAGGTGGCATCAACGTCAACTACTGTCAAGGAAGGAACGACATCCACTCAGCCTCCTACCATGAGCACGACCGAGGTGGCATCAACGTCAACTACTGTCAAGGAAGGAAGCACTTCCACTCACCCTCCAGTCCACAAGCACGACCAAGGTGGCATCATCGTCAACTACTGTCAAGCAAAGAACAAGTTCAGCTCAACACACTAGTGCAAGCTCCTCTAGGAGACCTCCTACGACGGAGACAGGGACTACTTCCACTCAGGCACGTACTACCAGCTCCTCTGAAGCCCCTACAATGTCGACTAGCACAACTGGCTACACCACGTTGACCGCTTCATCTTCTTCAACTGCTGGTAAGGTCGCGTCATCGACCTCCCACTCACCCACGGTATCATCTCATGAGCCAACTGCTTCCACTCACTCACATTCAACATCGTTTTCTCCCAAGTTTTCTTCTTCTACGCAAGGCAGCTCATCTTCCGTTGGAACTTCTTCTTCCGGTAGCACCTCAGCTTCCACGATCGCGTCGAGCTCGAGTAGTACTTTATCGCCATCAACTTCACCGGGAGATTCGCCCACTCAGCCAACGATGCCTTGGTCTACAACGGAGAAAGGGGCTCAGGGTTACCAGAACGTTAGCGGGCTTCTGATTGCACTGCTCGCCATCACGTTCTTATACTAGATCTATCCATTATGTAATTCTTCACTCCGGGTGGCATCGACTGGATGCCCGCATGGCTCTCTTTGCTTGCTTCTGCCATAGCGAGTCAAGCGTGATGTATTTCACATTGGAATTTGTAGTGTAGTCGAGAAATGGGGTAAAGTGCCTATGACATTGTAAATGAATGCATCGTGTTAAGTGACTTATTGCTTCTGTCGCCTTGCACAAGAAGCTGTGCTTGACAAACTCTTGTTCTGCATAGAAATGTTTA